CAAGCACTCTGCCACTGAGCTACAGCTCCCCCGGCCATAGTACTTATACTCTTAAAGTATGTTTTAGCTTATTGATTCTTTCTCTTTAATCATGTTGAAGCTTTAGGGGAAAGCAAAAGGGAATTTAAAAATGCATGGAGAAATGATAGGTCCTAGCAAGATTTCTGATGTTTGCTATTATTGTACAAGAAATCCAAACCTCAAATTACTAATGTAGGTCAACTTGCTGATTTAATTTTGTGTAACTGTAAAAACATAAGCAAAATCTACAAAACAATAATTAAGTTTCCACAATTATACCTGTCTTTAAGGCAGATAGGATATCATATAATACCATCCATCCCTCCAAAAATAATTAAAAATTCAAGGCTTTACTTCCATTTTTGAAAAAAATTTCCCCCTGATTACTTTCTTTTCTAGTAAAATAATTTGAGATCCTCAAATAGCCAACATACTATATATAACAGTTCTAGTTTGAAAATTAATTATTTGATTACAATATATCTGAGTTCTGATTCCCTAAAGAATGTCTTCAAAACAGAGATTTTGCAGCCTTGGAAATGTTTATTTAATAATTTGAAAATTATTGGATTTCTTGCTTCAAATAGTTTTAAGTATTATATAGCCAAATCGGCTAGGCTCAAACAAGACTTCACTTCTATATTGAATTCATGTACTCTTAGTTCAGCCAAGCAGAAAACAGTTAATGCCGTCATGTTTGAAAAGCTTTTATGCTGAATTTGACACAAAAGCAATCACAAAGCAGACAAAAAAGGAATTTCTCTTTCAAAAGCTGAAAGGAGAAAAATAAATGAAAACTCTGAGCCTGGGCAAATCTCTCTTGACACTGGAAATGAAAGTTTAAAATTATGATGAAGAAATAATTTTTCCAAAGAATTCATTGCCAAGTTTGGACCAATCTTAATATCCTAGGGAACGGGTTGTGAACTCAACCAAGATTCTGCCAAATTAAATAAATCCCATGATGACCACTGATGGCAGTTTTAGGAACCAATGGAATACTATTTTTGCCTCTTATCAAAGTTCTAAATGGCACTATCTCTCATGGGATTTTGTCATGGCCTGTTGGCAGGCATTTTGATTAGGAGGGAAATCTTGTATGTTTTGCCCTAACATCTGTCTTCTATCTCAAAAGAACATTATTATATCAGGTCTGTGGAGGAGATCAGATGAAGACTTGTGGTTGACAAAATTAAGTATTTTCTAATTCATATTTTTTTAAAAAAACTTAAGGATTATATGGCAAAGAAATAAATGATAAATATGGACTTTTTTTAAGAACCTACACATTACTAATTGACACAATGGGCCATCTACATTCTGTTAGGTAAATTAGGACTCTCCTGTTGCAGTTTCTTTCTATCCTGTCCATGGTTTTAAGATAGGTTTTTCCCAGATGCCATCTCAGATTTGATTTCTATTATGCAAATGGATTATTATCGTTCCAATTTCTTCTCTACTATTTTTTCTTACCATATGAAGAGTTTTTCAAAATGTCAAACTAGTAAGGAAATAAAAATGGGACTTAATGCTATAAAATTAAAAATATTATTAAAAGTTATGTAGCAATTTTGATAAAATTTATGCCATAATGCTGAACTTACAAATCAAAATTAAACATTTTACCTACATTATTAGGAAAATTAAAATATATGTAGATAAGAACTAGAAGAGATTATAGATAAAGATTAGCAATTATGGATCATTAATACATCAGGATTCTTGGTGATTTTTTAAGGTTCAGGTATGGTGATTAGTCTAGATTATAAAAGGGTGTAACAATGCTGGTGGTTGTCTTTGAAACTATTTCATTTTTGCTCATTAGTGACAGGGTAGTCATCAGTGATAATTCTTAAGGGAGGATATCTGCTACAATCACAGCTCTCCAACTCTAATGAAGCCCACAGTCTCTCTTGCCAGTCTCAGGCACACAGGCTCAGAGAGAATTTATGAGGAAGGAAATCCTGGTCAAATTCCCCAATTTCACATCATGTCTGTTTTTACTTTCTTCCTTAAATAAAATCGTATAAGTGATAATCCTGCTAATATCACTCAGTAGTGAAAATATATCAAACATAAAGACCAGAGCTTATTTTGTTTGCCCCCAAAATTAAATTCTAAGAAGAATTTTAAAATACCAATTTCATTTAAAATAGAGCAATTGGGGCTGGGGATGTGGCTCAAGCGGTAGCGCGCTCGCCTGGCATGCGTGCGGCCCGGGTTCGATCCTCAGCACCACATACCAACAAAGATGTTGTGTCCACCGAGAACTAAAAAAAAATAAATAAATATTAAAAATTCTCTCTCTCTCTCTCTCTCCTCTCTCACTCTCTCTTTAAAAATAAAATAAAATAAAATAAAATAGAGCAATTGGGTCTTTCATAGTAGAAAATAATACAAAAACTTTCCCCTGCCTGTTTTCTCTACCTACTGGCTTATGTAAGTAATACAATATGATCTTATCTGTCAATTAATAATTACAATTGTCTTTCCTTCAGGCCCTCATGGTGTTTTCTTAATTTGTTTTAGCCACACAGACAATAGGTGGAAGAGGAAATCTGTGAGATTATCTACAAGAGTAACTGCTATGTATTCACATCATAGCTGCGTTACTGAACCTTTCTAGCCTTGTTTTCTTATTTTCAAACAGGAAGAAGAATACTTTCATAAGGAGATTTTGAAAAGGTGAAATAAACCAATATATGTGAAGTGACTAGCATAGTTTTTCACACATACCACTCACTCACTAAAAGTAAGTATTAACATTAGGAATACTTTTGTTATTAGCATATGTTATTCAGGAAATGAATGGGAAGATCACAGCTTTTGTTATCTTTATCTGTCTTATGAACTTATATTGAATGTACAACTATATATATATATATATATATATATATATATATATATATATATATAATTAAATTCCTAAATACAGAACACAAAACACAAAATATCCATTTCTATAGAGAATGGTTGAGCCCTTTTTATAATGAAGTTTCAGATAGAACATTCTAGAGCATTTTGTTTTAAATTTCAAAAGTTTGACAAGGATAGTAATTGTAATACAATACTGTTTTTGTTTTATGTATTTATTTAAAACATTTACATGGTTGAGAGTAAGATCGTTTTGTTTTCTTTCACAATTCTTTTTGCCATTTTTGGTCTTATTGGAAGCCACTTACTCTTCTGAGAGCTATTAAATCCTAATCATCTTTGCCATAACTTTAAGATTCCCTTAGGTTAAGATTATTTCTCATTTGCCAATATCGAGGCTCCTCTATCCCTAATCAAATCTATTACTATATGCCTCTCATCTTTCCTTTCCCTCATCTATCTCTTCCAGGGAAAATTTGTTTTCCTGCTAATTCTTTCTCATCCATTACCACTTTAGTCTATAATTTTCTAAATTCATAGTATCCTGAATTTATGGAGCGTACCTTCTCGGTAAGACCAGATCCTTAGAGAATAACCACTTGGATTTTGTTTCACATAGTCAGACAAGGAAATAGGAAAATGATCATTAGAAATGACTAATGCAATCTATGCTTATTCATATTAGTGAAAATAAGCATCTCATGAGAGAAAGAATTTTAGTCTACATAGATTTTGCTTCCAACAGAGCTAATGTTAAGACTTAAAATCCTATGTGGCCTTTTAATATTCGTATCATATAAATGAAAATCTTGTTCTCATAGCAGCTTAGATCCTTTGACAAAGTGGCTATGATACAGATTGGTTAAAAGCTCATCAATTACTCTTTATGAAAATAAATTGGAAACATGCTCTTGTCAATGAGATATGGTAAAATTTTCAAGCTCGGCTAAAAACCCCATGGATTGATTGACTAACTATATTCTCTCTTCCTCTCCTCCAGTGGCCTTGGGCAGCCATATATTTAATATGATAGTTTCCAAAATTTGGAAAAGCTTATCCCCAAGTGACCATTTGGACAGAGCTCCTAAAAAGGGCTTTTTAGCTTCCATTGGGCTATGATATAATCAAGGAATGAATCTTATTATTCTTCATTGTATTTAGCTGTTGTCATTTCAGTGTTTATTTCTTATTGTAGCTTAGCATAATTTAACTTAATTTAGAAACAAAAACCTCTTAATCCAAGAAAACTATATGGTTTTCTTCTAAGATGGTATAATTAATATAAGATTCAGATATCTGTTTAGCAAAAGGCCTTTTTTAACAGATACAAAAATCTGTAAAGGATTTTGATCAAGTACTCAGTCTGATCAACCTTCTATCATGCTTAAAATGGTAGGGAATTTCTGCTTAAAATTCCTTTACAAGTATTCATTCTCTAGCATTTAAGGTATTTTCTACTGATCTACAAGTGCCACATTTGAAAGATTCAAATGAATGCAAAGCATCATCCATGGTGTTTTATAAAATATATTGTTAGATAAATTTTACTTCCTTTCCCTTTTTCATATCCTAAGCAGTTCTAAACTATTAAGTAGATATATATCTGGTAAAGTTTGGGAGGAAACAAGGAAAAAGTGAAGGAAAAGAAAGAAGGGAAGAATGATTTGGGCTTGAGGTCAGAGAATGGGAAGAAAAAATCAGAGTACGCCTTATTCCTGCCTTGTGCTATAGCCACTTCTCTATTTAGGCCCTCAAATAAGGTAAGGAGTAGATTTGTTATTTGTTTTTCTAGGAAGGAGTTAAACCCAAATAGCTGACTTCATGCTACTAACTAAGTGTGGTATGTACATCAATTTTGAAGTGATCTTTAAATATAGTTCAATATAAAAACTATCCCACTCTACCCAGATAAAATAAAATCAATTTAAGATTGATATTAGCCATCAATTTTCCACTTATCTCTATTATGACTCAAAAGTTACTTCAATTTAAATGTATTTTTCCTTTAATAAATTTATATTTAAAAATCATTAATATTTAATCCATGGCATAATTTTACTCAGTTTACCAGTATTTTGTTTTGAGAATACATCTTTGATACTAACCTTGGTCTCAGTGATTTTCTTTTGGATTGTATCCATTATATAAGGACCCTCCTTCCATGATTCAAGTTTGGCTCTGGCCTGTCGTAAGACCTGCTCAGCTTCTTCCTTAGCTTCCAGCCATTGTGTTGAATCCTTTAACATTTCATTCAATTGTTGCCTCCGATTCTGAAGGTGTTCCTGTACTTCATCCCACTGATTCTGAATTCTTTCAACTGTAATGAAAGGAAAAAATGAACACTGATAAATAATAGTCTGGAGAAGACATTTTCAATTTAACATCCAAACATTATCTCATGTTTATATTGCTCATTGAAAAACATTGTTCATTGCATTAAGACTAGGACAATAGATAAGATTCCTTACTTTTTTCACATGCTAACCATGATTTCTGTTAAATTATCTTCCTGAAGATGACCTAGAACACATATATGTGTGTATACACATATATATGTTTATATGTATTCATATAAATTTTTAAAACATTTTTTAGTTGTAGATGAATACAAAACCTTTATTTTATTTATTCTTATATAGTGCTCAGGTTTAAATCCAGTGCCTCACACATGCTAGGCAATCTCTCTACCACTGAGCCACAACCCCAGCACCTATATGTATAAATTTCAACTATTTTGTCAATCCCCAGAGTCAAATATGAGTCATCATTTAGAAAGGTTCTACAGCAGAATGCCCAGATCTCCTACCATTACTATTCATTAGCCCAATTTTTAGTACCAGAGTTTGCATTTTATTGCCTGAAGGATTTTGGATGGCAAAGCAAATTCTTGTGGTAACAGAAATCCAAGTGGCAGGGTAAACATATTGAAGTTGATATCTCCTCACCATGTCCTAGGAATAGTCTATCACTAATGACTGATCATAGGAATTTGGGTTTGGACACTCTTATGCCCTTATGGGAGATAACTCTGAGGCATGTGTCTTCCAAGGGATCTAGAGTTTCCCTGGAGGGAGAAATTTGCAGTGGCTTACAGTGGTAGCTGGTTGATAATGGACCATCTTTTATTGGCTACCTTGCTTCCTTGCTTTAGTGTTCTCACTTCCTCACTCCTCTGATATTTCCCTTACCTCCTAAATAAACCACTTTTCTTAGAATCTTCTGAGGAAACTCAAGAGTAGTTAGGTGTATTGGAAACTTCTTTTAACAACATTAAAGAATTCATGTGGAGTACATTTTGTACAATCAGCTTATATTGAGGCTATTTTTGGCATCATTATGAGTCTAAGAGAAGTCCTTTAGATTTGGTTAAGAAATCCTTTATTTAGAATATTAACAACAAATAGGATTACATTTTTTCTAAACAACTTCTTTAAATTGGTATCAAAAATAGAAATAATGCTGTAGAAAATAAACAAAATTACCAACCTCTTTATCCTTTAACAATAAAACCTAACAGAGATTCTAGATTCTTACCTAACCCTCATCTAATATATATATATATATATATATATATATATATATATATATATATATATATATATATATATA